CCCTAAAAGGGCTATCAGGCTCTGGAAGGGGCTGCCCAGGGAAGGGGTCGAGTCCCCATCCCTGGGGGGATTTAAAAGCTGGGCAGACGAGGTGCTTAGGGCCAGGGTTTGGGGGTGGGATGGCAGGGGTAGGGGAACGGTTGGGCTGGGGGAGCTTAAAGGGCTTTTCCAACCCAAACGGTTCTATAACTCTAATCAGACCCGCCTAGACAGGACCCAAAGTATCTGCAGATCTTTCTGCTGTTGCCTGAGTTTTCCATTTGGTTTTCCCGGCCCCGTGTCCCAGCTGGGGTGGATGTGCTGCTGTGTTTCATGGTGAGAAACACTCACCATCAGCACGCTGACTTGCCTTGCATGTTGTCTCTTTTTCACCCTGAAGGCATCTGACCCTGTTTCCCTGTTGCCTCCCCGAATGAATTGGTGCCTTGAAAGTCTGAAAGGAGATAAAGCAGCAGCGAACTCTTCTCTCCTGTTGCAGATAAACTGCTGTTAGCTGCTGACGGTTCCTGAAATGAGATGGGTGACTCTCCCTTGAAAGCGCTGATAAATCCTGGGCTTCCAGCATAATCCAGGCCACTGTATCAGGAGATCTCCTGGGAGCTGGCAGCACTGAGCACAGCAATGCCTCTTCATGCTACGATTCTCCCGCGGATGGATGATCTCCATCATGGGAGGGGATTCTGCACCTCTGCTCTGGTGAGACCTCACCCGGAGCCCTGCGTCCAGATCTGGAGCCCTCAGCACAAGAAGGACATGGACCTGTTGGAGCGGGGCCAGGGGAGGGCTACTAAAATGATCCAAGGGGCTACTAAAATGATCCGGGGGCTGGAGCCCCTCTCCCATGAGGCCAGGCTGGGAGAGTTGGGGGTGTTCAGCCTGGAGAAGAGAAGGCTGCGGGCAGAGCTGAGTGCGGCCGGTCAGGGCTTCAAGGGGGCCCAGAGGAAAGGGGGGGACAAGCTTTTTAGCAGGGCCAGCTGGGGCAGGACAAGGGGGGATGGTTTTAAACTGAAGCAGGGGAGGTTTAGACTGGATCTAAGGAAGAAATTCTTTCCAGTGAGGGTGGTGAAACCCTGGCAGGGGTTGCCCAGAGAGGGGGTGGAGGCCCCATCCTGGAGGTTGGATCCTGATGGCTCCTTACCTCCCCTTCTCAGCAAAACAACCACTGCCTTCTGCTGCGAGACCGGGTTTACCAGTGAACTTCACCTGCAACGGTGACCACAGGACTGAATCCTGCATCCCGCGTGCGAGCAAGGATATCATACATCGTCCTCCTGCTGCTTTGACAGTGCAAGCGGCCCTGCAAAGCAGCGATTTAATGCACTTCTCGGTGCCCTAGCATTTCGTCTTGCTATGCTTAACCTGATATATTGTTGTTTGATACGGGAACAGTAGGGGGGGTAAAAGGAGGTAATAAGAAAATAAAAGGTCAGTGGGTGCCTGGTGTGTGTAAAGGCTAAATTGCTCTTTCATCAAATCTAATAAATATTCCCTGTGAGTGGGGTAGGGAGCTCCTTTTCTGAAATGCTAAGTGATTTCTCTGCCTCAGAGCCTCAGCCCAGGACTTGGATTATCGGATGCAGGCAGGGTTCCCCATCACTGGCGGCAGCCCCTCTCCTGCCCCCGGGTCACGGCCAGCCAAGCCCCACGTCCACAGTGTCCCAAGAGGCCAGGGCAGCGGGGTGCGGAGGGGGAGCAGCCCCCGGCGAGGCATGAGCCAGCCCCAGCCCCTTGCTGAGCATCAAACTGCTTTTTTTTTTTTTTTTTCCCCTACCATTCCTAAAAATATTCCTGAGCCTGCAAGTGAAAACCCGGTGGTTTGGATTTAAAAACCAAAATGGAAACAGATGAGATGCATCCCATCGTGTTTTCTCACCTCCTCTCCTTTCTCTCTTCACTTGTTCCAGATTGGGGAGAGAATGGCAAAGGAGTGACCAAAAATGAAGAAAAACAAAGTAAGGAAACATCTTTCTCATTTGTTTTTTTCCTTGTTTGAGAGACTAGAAAGTTTTTATAAGGACGGAAAACTGGTTTATTTTAAAATAGGATTTATTTTTTTTTTTTTTAAATTTTGATGGAAGACGATTGCTATGGGATAGGACACTTTGGGTAGTGCTTGTCTCCTCCATCGCTGGTAGAGAAGCTAAAGCCATCCAGCCTGTGGCCAGAAACATGGACTTTCCCCTTTCTTTTGCCCTTCCATCCTTCCATGGGGAAACTGAGGCAGCAGGCAGGATTTCCAAGTGTCCCCAGTTTTGGGGGTTCCACTTCAGGCCTGGTTTCCAGCGAGGCTTTGGTGTTATGGGGCGCAGCACTCATTTGCCAGGCTCCAGATGCCTGCGGGAAGCTCCTGCAGGTGCCTCACGGACTCGGAGGAGCTGAGTGAGCTGCTGAGGATGTAAATCAGTGTGATCCCCCCCCCGGAGTCGGGGACGCTGCTGCATCTGGGGTCTCTTGGAGATGTTGGTGCTGAAGAGCTACGGAGCATTGCATTTGCAGGTAAAACTGAGCTCTCTGCCTCTGAAAGGTGAGCGGTGGGACGCTCCCTACCCTCTGCTGCGCATCCAAACCTCCACCTCCTTCCCCAGGTCTGACCTGCACCTTATCCACGGCTCCCCGCCGCCAGCAAGAAGAGCCTTGGGTCGCTGGGTTGGCTGGGAGGAGAGAGAAAGAACGCGAGACAGATTCCCCATTAATCTGAGAGATCATTATTTGCTGCTAGAACTGAGAGGGTGAAGTGTTTTGGGGAGTCAGCAGGAGTTAAATCCTTGCCATTGATTCTCGCCCAGCCCGGCTGCGCAGCCGTGAATTAGCAGGAATTACACCGCCGAGCAGTGGGGAGAAACTGAAGTGGGCGCCAGGCAAATGCGGGGATGGGAGGGGGAAGTCTGTGCCTTTAAAATATTCATGCTGCAAATTAACATGTGCTTCAAGTCTGTGATTCTTCAAATATTTATCTAACGTTAATATTTTGAAAACCACATCAGAATTTGCCACTGGTGCTTTATTTATTAGGGGCGTTCGGCAGCCGCAGACAGCAGTGCCTGCTAAATCTGTAAAGTGTCCATGCAGAGACAGCAGCTGGAGGATGGAGCCTGGGCTGTGAGAAGGAGCTTTCTGCTCCTACTTCCAAAGCAGGGAGCCCAAAATGAACTCCTCACCCACGTCGACTTCAGCTGTGTGACTGCAGACGTTCAATTCAGCAGAGCATGCGCCGCGGTTTTGACCCCTCTGACTCCAAGCAAAAATAATTTGATGTGAGCGAGGTGAGATAGATATTCCCGTGGGCATTGGGAAGGGGAACTGGGGCTGAGAGACACGTTTGGGTTTTTTTTTCCCAGGCTTCATGACTGCTGTGGCTCTGGTGGGGCTGTGAGGGCAAACTGGATACGCACGAAGCCATGACCTCCCTTCTCATATGTGCCAGCCCCATGCAAGGAGGTTGTTGGGTATGGGGGTAGAGAGGGTGATTTGGCAGCACCGTGGCTGTCAGGGCCAGTGCTACAGCTCTGATGTCACCCCAAAATGGGAAGCTCTGCTGGGGGACACCCCAATGCCTGACCACGAGTCAGGCGGAGCGGCCATGCAGGATCTCGGTCCTTCACACTCTCCTCCCATGCTCTCTGCCCGCTGCGTTAGCCTAGGGCTGAAATTCAGCTTCAGACTCGCGTTGGCTTCTATCTCCTGTTTTTTTATGCAACCCACTTGCCAAAATACCCCGAGCACAGAGCGACTTGGAGGGAAAAGTACAGGACATGGAGACAAATGCTCAGCGTCGCTGGCACAGGGAGCTCATTTTCCCTTGATTCCTTGGCATTGCAGCTGATGCACGGCTTCGTGGACTGTACAGCTACTGCCAGTTTCCTGGTAAAATTACTCCCAATTATGCCAAACGTTTAACTTTAGGTATGAGCAGAACTGCACGCAACTCCATTCTGTACATCATATTTCTGTTCAGCTTCTAACCTCAGCTGCAATTTTGCTTCATAAAACGAGGAGAGTTTCAGGGGCCCTGCAGATTGCAAATGGTTACAGGGACTGCAGCAGGACAGATTTTTATTTTTTTTGCGTTGTAATGCTAGGGAGTGAGAGTTCCAGCGGCGGGTTTTATTTTCATTTATCTTTATTTTGCATTGGCAATGGGGACATGCCAAAAGCTGCTTTTACAGACTGGGCAAACCTGGAGCAAAAAGGTGCCTGTTGCTCCCACTCGCTCTGGTGCTTCCACTTGAAAAGGTCTTGGAGTCAGATCCCTTATTTTCGGCTCTCAGGTCCCTTATTTTCAGCTCTGGTCCCTTATTTTCAGCTCTCAGGTCCCTTATTTTCAGCTCCCTGTTCCCTTTTCGAGTACTCTTGCATAATTAAGAGGTGAACCTGGCAGACAGCATCCAACTAATACAGATATGATTAATTTTCATCTTCCCTTTTTATTTTAAAGGTTGTCCTTTCCAATGCAGAAAGCTTCATCGCAGATGGATGGGAAACCTGCCAGCCAGCCACATTTTCGAGGTAAAAGGGGACAAGACATGGGAAAGTTTAGTGCTTTGAAAAAGTGACCTTTCTTGGTAATTAATTTGTCACTTCCCAACACCATCTGCTGACTCGTCAGCTGCATCCATCATAACCATGCAAAAATACTGGAAAAGTCAATTAAAATGAGAACCGGTGTCAAATGGGCTTTGCGCAGATTCTTTAGGAAAGGGGGGGGGGGGGGGGGAGGAAATAACTTATCGTGTCCTTTTCATCAACACACATAGACATGGTCCCAGGGAGCAAAACTGCGTTGACCTGTCTGGAAGTTTTATAGGTAGGACCACTTCATTGCCTGGTGACAAGCTGCAGTAAATGCCCGGGGATCTGGGAAGCATCTTAGCGATTGCCACGTATTATTTTAAGGAGGGGTTTAGCCCAAATCGAGTGTTATTGACTGCAGCGCCAGCAGCAAGCGCCCTGTGAGCCCCAACGCGCAGCGTGGTGCGTCCCCGTCGCATGGACCGCCTGCGATGGAGCCAGGTGAGAAAAGTCATTTGACAGGCTTGGGCGATGCTCTTTTCCCCCTATCTCCAGGGCTTAGTTTTCAAGCAGCCAG